TAACTAGACTAAACCTCCTAAATCCTGTCCTAACTTTAGGATGAACCCCAACAGGGTCCTCACTTCTGTTTAAGGTCTGTTTCTATGGTTTTTAGGCAGCTGTGTCAGCAGCATAGTTCACTACCAGCATAATGAGCTCCATTTATTTCTACTGTAAAACGCTGCTTTCACTGTGAGATGATTTTCTTTTCTAACTCTGCGTTTTAAAGATCTCAGACGCTGCAGACTCGATCTCCACCGCCCCTCTGATCACCTTCGTGTGTTAATGTTGATGATGAAATATTACAGTGATGGTGGTGAATAATGAGGAGACGGAGCTGAACGTGTGTCTGTTTATTAGGAGGAGTAACGTTAGCGCGCTCGGCTAAAGCGTTTGGGAAATGGAGACTGAAACTGGGGAGCGGCGACGCTCTGATAAACAGCAGGGGGCGCTCTCACAGTATTCACTACTTACAGTTTATCACACTTTAGTTCTGTTTGACCTTTTTTTACATCAGTAACAGCAGCTCAACTCATTTTAACATTATTTTGATGACGTGTTTACATTTCAGTCGTTTCTGGATGGTCAGTTGCGAGGAAACAGACACGACAGCTGATTATCGACTTCAATTGAGTAGATTAAGATTTTCTAACTGGAGATAAGATGCTGTAAGATCAGATAAAATTCCTAAATTAAGGTCAGATTTGCTTCTGAAATACACATTAGTGAAAAATCTGATCTTGACCTGTTAATCTTCATTATTTGTTATTGTTTAAATATTTAAGTATGTGCTTGTTTCTGTTTCTGGGTCTGTTTGTACTGAAACGTCTCTATCATCTTCTCACTATCATATCCTCCTACAGCCTTTAATAAACACAATAAATATGATGACCTCTGACCCTCAGGTCAGTATTTATTGAAGATCTAATCACTGTGAATTCACACTAAACCTCAGATTTGTTCTCTGTTTAAAGGTTTCATTTATTTCATCATGAAGGTCTTCAGCTCACGTTCATTCATAAATAAATACTGAAAACAGAAGAAAGAGCCACTTTATCGCATCATATTTACACCATCACACAGTCTGACCAGCGTTAGGGCTCCAGTTTAATCCTGTGTGTTTAATACACTGTAAAGCTGCAGAGGAGAGAAACCTTGACATCTGAACACAAAACTGGACCTTCAGATTAATGATGTGTGGAATTCACAAAATAACCACAAACTAACCACAAACTGAGCACAGAATAACCAAAAGATGACCACAAAATGACCACAACATAACCACAGAATAACCAAAAAATAACCACAGAATAACCACAGAATGTCCACAGAAAAAAACACAAAATGACCACAACATAACCACAGAATAACCAAAGAATAGCCACAAAATAACCACAAAATAACCACAGAATAACCACAAAATAACCACAAAATAACCACAAAATAACCACAGAATAACCACAAAATAACCACAAAATAACCACAGAATAGCCACAGAATGACCACAAAATAACCACAAAATAACCACAGAATAACCAAAGAATAGCCACAAAATAACCACAAAATAACCACAGAATAACCACAAAATAACCACAAAATAACCACAGAATAGCCACAAAATAACCACAAAATAACCACAGAATAGCCACAAAATAACCACAGAATAGCCACAAAATGACCACAAAATAACCACACAATAACCACAGAATAGCCACAAAATAACCACACAATAACCACAGAATAGCCACAAAATGACCACAAAATAACCACACAATAACCACAGAATAGCCACAAAATAACCACAAAATAACCACAGAATAGCCACAGAATGACCACAAAATAACCACAGAATCACCACAAAATGACCACACAATAACCACAGAATAACCTCAAAATGACCACAAAATAACCACAGAATGACCACAGAATGACCACAGAATAACCACAAAATAACCACAGAATGACCACAAAATGATCACAAAATAACCACAGAATCACCACAAAATGACCACAAAATAACCACAGAATGACCACAGAATAACCACAAAATAGCCACAGAATGACCACAAATGACCACAAAATAACCACAAAATGACCACAAAATAACCACAAAATGACCACAAATGACCACAAAATGATCACAACATAACCTCAGAATAACCACAGAATAACCGCAATGAGAAATGCACGTCGCTCCCAAACGCGCATTTCATGCATATGAATTAGTCATTAACTGCGTCGCTTAGCAACTTCATTTGCATTTGACCTGCTGAGTTTTCCTGCAGCATCGACTGCTGAGCTCAACTGAGTCTCTCACTGAGCAGCATGAATCTGTCTGTCTCTATCTGTGTATCTCTCTCTGTCTCAGTCTCTCTCTCTCTTTCTCCCTCTATCTGTCTGTCTCTATGTATCTCTCTCTCTGTCTCAGCCTCTCTCTCTTTCTCCCTCTATCTGTCTGTCTCTATCTGTGTATCTCTCTCTGTCTCAGTCTCTCTCTCTCTTTCTCCCTCTATCTGTCTCTGTCTCTGTGTATCTTCTCTCTGTTTCAGTCTCTCTCTCTTTTTCTCCCTCTATCCGTCTCTCTTTCTGTGTATCTCTCTCTCTCTCACTCTATCTTTCTCTTTCTCTGTGCACAATTGTTGGGAAATCACAACAAAGGTTGTTTATTGTTTTCTGTGTGTGATAATCTGAGGATGTGATGATTAGAGTCTGTCGGCACTTTGAAACTGAAACTGAGTCACAGATAAACACAAGCAGCATCAGAAAGTGAGAGTATTAGTTAAAGAAATATTACCACAGATTCACTGTGTTTGGAATATTCCCCGCATGTCAGTGGTCACAGTGAGAAATGTGTCCAGTTCTGCAGGTCACATGACGGAGGATCCCTTTAGAGGAACTCATTAAAAATTACATTAAAAACTACATCAATGAGCAGAAGATACAAACATCAGCTCTGCAGCAGCTGAGCTCACTAGTGTTTCACATGTATAGTTTCAGCTGAGGAGCTGGAGTCACCAAGTGTCCATGGCAACAAGCTTCTGTTATGCTGTTAATCTAAAAATGTAAACATAGAGGACGCTAATCATTACTGGAACTTTGATCGGAAAAAAAGAGACAAAAAACAATTTTACTTTCTTGGCAGCATGAAAAATGAGTTTGGTACAAACAGAGTCGAACAGTGGAGTGAAGCATGATGGTGGGAGTGTAAATATGGTGGTGGGAGTGTAAATATGGTGGTGGGAGTGTAAATATGGTGGTGGGAGTGTAAATGTGCTGGGAGCGTAAATGTGGTGAAGAATCAAACTGAGAATTAAACTGAGAATCAAACTGACAATCAAACTGAGAATCAACACTGAGAATCAAACTGAGAATCAACACTGAGCGTCAAACTGAGAATCAACACTGAGAATCAAACTGAGAATCAACACTGAGCGTCAAACTGAGAATCAACACTGAGAATCAACACTGAGAATCAACCATGAGAATCAAACTGAGAATCAACGCTGAGCATCAAACTGAGAATCAACCATGAGAATCAAACTGAGAATCAACACAGCACAAGTATTATAAATAATTAAAACTGTAAATATTAATTTGATGAGCATAAACATCACAGATGTTCCTTTAGTGTATTTTTGAACCAGCAGCTCCATCTAGTGGTAAATTTGATTTAGGACTTTAATCCCCTGTAATGATAAAGATAAACAAAACAAACTTTATTTCAAACATTTAATAAACATTTATTTAATAATTTTTAGTTGTTTTTTTTATTTTAACTCAAATTCAGATTTTTATATTTATTTTTATCTATGTATTTTTAATAATGCATGCTGGAGGTTTTGTTTACAGTTGAATAATTAATACAAATTCTTTTTCATCTTTACAACTTCAAACAGAACTGAAGTTTAGTAAAGTAATGCAGTCTGGTCACCATGGAAACACTGCCACTTCATCATCAGGAGCTGTTTTATATGAAGAGTCTGAAGGTCGGAGCTCCTCTCGTCTCTCGCTGGTGGTCAGTTAATTCAGCATGTGGTCAGTAAAAATGTCTGTACAGCAGTGTAACTGGATGGTTAATTTACTTACAGTTTAATCGTTTATCTTCTAAAATCAAACTTTAAATCAAACGCTGTAAACAGTTCTGTTTATGAAATATGAAAAAACTATGTTTTTTATTCTGAAAGCTCATTTCTGTCTATTAATTATTAATATTATTAATTTCCTTTCCTTCTTACTTTTGTATATTGTGTTTTTGTTTTGGCTTTACTGACTTAATATGTTGTTAATACGTTATTAACCCTGTAAAACCACATAGCACACGAGATATTAACAAAAAAATGATTAATTGTTAAAAATGACATGATTTACTCCAAAACTAATTTTTGAACAATAAATGTTTTTGGATGTAGATATGATCTCAATCCTGATTAATATGACCAGCTTTCATTATTATTATTAGTAGCAGCAGTACTAGTTATTATGGAGGGGACAGAAAAATGTACAAAATATTTCCATTAACCTTCAACAAAAAGACAAACAGTGAAACTTTTAACTTTATTAATATTACAAAAATAAAATCACTGTAAAATATGTTTCTTCAGCTTCATGAGTTTGATGCCCAGAGACTTTAACACTTCTAAACAGGAAAAACGTAAACAAAGTTACATAATCACAGTATCTGTAAACAATAAACAAAGAACAAAAACACAGTCAGCCTGAGCGCCGCCCACCTCTCTCAAATCTCCTCTTCACTCCGGGACACTGAATGTTCATAATCGATCCGACCAACATTGATTGTCTGACCAACAGTTTCATAATTTTTCAATTTGAAAATCTTAAAACGAGTGTTTTTCTGATTCCAGCTGAGTTTGACATTAAATCTGCAGATGAAACTCTAAGTGCTCAGTCATGGCTGAAGATGGACAGACTAGTGTACCGTAATAAACACATGGAGCTGCAGAGGGAGCTGCAGCTGCGCCCACTAGAGGGCGACGCAGAAGCTTCACATTCACAGGGCAGAACTGATATTCTGCTGTGGCAGCAAAGAGGCTTTAAACGTTTCCTCTTTTCCAGCCTGATGAACCTGATCCGTCACAGCGGCGGAGAGAGAAGGTCTTCAGCAGCTTCTTCAAGTCCAGAGAAGAAGAAGAGCCTCTAGTTGCCATGACAATATGCCATACCGGGTCAGTACCGTCAGTCCTGGACTGTGTTCAGTACATGGATTCATCAGCAAACCCGTCTGAAACATCAGGAGAAACACGCTTATTCACCAGAACGTCACCAATTCAGCTTCCTTCTGTTATTAAAATGTAATAAATCAGCCCCTCAGGCTTCAAATGCTTATAGATATCAGTTTCAGAGACCTTAATGAACATCACACAGTCTGAGGCTGCAGTTAGCACCATGCTAACTTGTGGATATTATGCTCTATGATTTGTTAGCTACATTAGCTCCAGTGCTGAAACTAATGAAGCAAACTACAGACACCAAACTCGTCTCAGCTGATCAACTAAAATTGGTATAATTAGGAAAATATGTCAAATATATTCAAATTAATTAGTTTTAATAATAATTTGAATAAATTGATATTTAACTGCTTTGAAAGTTTTGGATGTTGTGCTCGTTTATGTTACCTTGCTGGAAGTTGCCGTGCAGGTAAAGACTGAGTTGATGCAACTCGATGTTCTCTTCATGACAGTCCCGTCTGTAAAAAGAGGGCCACAGATGACCATCTGCCAAGTGCGGTTCTAACGGGACGGAGTCCACCAGAACGTCCAGAGAGAGGTCCTGCAGTCCAGGTCCATTGTCTGGCGAGATTCTGGGAACTTGCCTCCATCCAGAGCCTGAATCCTTCTTGACTGGTGCTCCATCCCAGTCCCTCAGGATGCTGTCAATGACGTCCTCATCAAGGAGCGGCTCAGTGGGTGGCGTGATGGCAGACGGCCAGCAGGGGGAGCGGGTGAGGTTTGAGTCATGGCTTTTAGCGCGGTACATGTCAAAGCTGCTGGCCAGGGAGGAGATCTGATGGGCCAGCACGCTGATCTCAGCCTGTTCTCGTTCAGTGTAGCTCAGATCGGACAGCGTAGAGCCGTGGACGGTCAGCGAGGGGCCAGAGGTCAACAGCTCGCCCAGAGATGAGGTCCCAACTTCATCGGCCATCAGCTCTGGAAGCAGGCTGAAGTTCTCGTAGTGGAGAACACAGTCAGGAACCAGACTGGCTTCAGCTGGGCCTTCTGGGTAGAGTGGGGGAGAAGGGAGGGGGTGGGGCTCCACGCCGAAAGAACTTTGGAGAAATGGCTGCGGGTGGAGGTGCTGGAAGGGCAGTGAGGAGGAGAACGAAGGAGACATGACGTCCTGCAGGACGTCCGAGCAGTCATCAGACAGGGAGGAGGCGGGGCTGTGGGGGGGGGTGGAGAAGAACGATCGGTCAGCTGATCCGTCTCTGTGGTCTCCGCTCGTACTCGCCGGCGCGCCATATGTTGGCAATCGCTTGGAAAGCCTCCTGACTTTTCTCCTCGGTCCGGCGCTCTGATCGCCGCCCTCTGCTGGCCGCTTCGGAGACCTGCAGGGTCCGGGACCCCATGGCATCTGAGATATGGAAGGAGTTAGAGGCGGCGCAGATACAGCGCTGTACAGCTTCTGCCTCAGATACAGCGCCTCGGTCTCACTGCAGACACAGTAAAGATCAGTTCAGCAACAATAATAATAATAATAAACGATGTTTTGTTTTTACTGAAGTCGCTTTAGAAAATGAAATAACAATAAATAGTAAAACACAAACTTTCAAAGAATAAAATACAGGTTCTAAAATCTGATGTTGAAACTGATTTCTGCATTAATGCAGTCAGTTATTAAAACTTGTTCTGCTGTTTGTGGAAAAATATTCAACTGTTATGTTGCTTAGTGACCACAGTCAACTGTTAATTATCGATATTAATGAAATAATTTTTTATTGTGATAAATAATACAAACAAATGAAATTATAAATGTGATTAAATCATTATAACTGCTTTAATAAACACAAATAATAAAAAGAAAACAGAATTATAAAGTTCAAACAAGACAGAAAATAGAACAGAATAGAATCTGAGTAGAATTTGAGTAAAATAGCTTCAATGGGATTAGATAATATATGAACTACAGGAAATTAATGAAGTTATGTAGAGTGATTATTATACATAATCTGTAGATGTTCTAGATTCTCTGTGGTCAGTTTTACTGTTTAATTAAGAATTAAATGACTGATTAATGACAGTAAACTATAACTCTGATACTTCTGCAGTGCGTATGATGGTGGAAATTACTTTCATGATTCATTATTATTATTATTATTATTATTATTATTATTATTATCAGATGTGGGGAGGGGTGTGTGGGAGGTGTTACCTGATCAGGAAGTTAGTGCAGGTGATTTCCTGTTTGTGAGTGAGTTTAGAGGCGCGACTGAAGATCCAGATCCACAGCAGAGTTTTAGTCTGAACTCTAAACACCAGCTCCACCATCTCCTCACCTTCATCACC